TTTTAAATTGTGGTTTCTCTTCAAAAAAAAATTGTGCATTTCTGCATGCTGCAGAACAATGGAGTTAATATTCAGAATTAAACACTTTTAAACGATAGCCGGGCGTTTCACCTTATTTTCTTGGCGGCAAATGCTAGCTTTTACAGTTCTTGTAACTTGCTAAAACTAAGATATTTTATGTTGAGATAGGGTTAGCCGAAACTTGCAATTTAAAAAAACCTAAAAATGTCCACACAAAAAATTAATTTAATAAACATTTTACAATTTTACACAAATATCCAGTTTTGCAATAATTATTTGTTTTGTCATATAATAACAAAGACTTCATTTAATCTAAAAGTCGTCTCTGTATTTAACTTTTTTAAAGAGCTTCAATAGGGATCCCAAAAAGTTCATTGAAGACCCCACGATTTTTGTTGGAGACACCCAGATTTTGCTTGGAGACAACCCAGAATTTTATTGGAGACCCCAAGGTTTTCGTTGGAGACCCCCACATTTTCCTCGGAGACAACTCAGAATTTTATTGGGGACCCCAAGGTTTTCGTTGGAGACACCCAGGTTTTCCTCGGAGACAACCCAGAATTTTTATTGGATACCCCAAGATTTTCATATGGGGTTCTTCAACAAAAATCTTGGGGTCTTCAATGAAAATCTGACGAGAGTCTCCATAGAAAATCTTGGGGTCTCCAATGAATTACTTGGGGTCCCTTTTGAAAATCAGGGATTCTCCAGAGAATCTGGGGGTCTTCTACGACAGTTCCATGAGGTTCTCCAATGAGAGGGGCCGGGGGGGTCTCCGGCCAAGATATTGCTTCAATGCTGATGTTTGTTCCGAGACTCTAATGGAAATGATAAGTCATTTTATTTTTGTCAAATCATTAGTGTTATTCACTTTAGTTAATTTCGTATTAACAGTAAAATTAAAGAAATGATGTTGTATTAAAAAAGCAGCCCTAACTTCAGTTTAAGTCATTTGCCGCCAAACCAATAACTAAGAAAGTGACTATGTATATATTGATTATTATTGATAAGATAATGTTTAATAGTGTAATGTTGTGAATTAGCATGCCCGTCTTTAAATGGAAAATACAATGCTGATTACATTAGCGCCTCATCCAATCAGGGTTCAACCATGTGTTTGATGTCTATTCTGCATGACGGTAACATCTATCTTTCTATCTATCTCATCATCCAATTAGAGCTGAATCCTTAAATCGGCACTAAACAGTAAATGAAAATATTTACTTCTACTGAAACTATGCAGTGGATTTTAGCTTTTAATAGATTTTGAGTTTGAGTTTTACAATTTGAAAAAAAATGTCTATCGGGCAACAATAAAGTATAAAGTTAGTGAGGTAAAGGTGCAAAGCATTGCGACTCTTCAAAATCTACCCAATCTTGAAGATTGATGCAACTTTTCATATGAGGCAGTTTGGATCTATGTGGGGTAAAAATACACATCAGACATTTCTGATTCAATTTCAATTTAGAATATTTCAAACTTTTTTAAATTTTTTAAATTTCAAATTTTAATTTGTTTTTGAGTTTCTTCTGAATTAAACTTCTGACTTAAACTTCCTGGAAAACATCACTCTTCAGTTTCAGTCTTGTTCGTTTTTAGAAATGGATGAACAAATCTAAAAGTAATCTTAGGAGAAGCTGAATTTTTTTATTTTAATTTTTAAATTTGAAATATCAATTTAATAAAGCCAAAGAATAAGGAACTTCCTTAACACTCGCCACAAACCATATCGTGTAAAATATGATATTTCAAACCTTGACAGAGTTTGAAAAATCAAAAATCTTCGACACCTGAGATTACAAAATAATAAGATTTAGATAACTATAACTGTAGCGAGCGTTCAGTTCGTGTAATTCATAATATTCACTTACTGCCCATCTCCAGTCATAGCAGAATAGTTTCATTGAGTGCCCAGTGAAGATTAACAGCAAAAAAAGAGGGGGGGATATATGATATAAGGGGATTTTCGGAAAGGGAGGGGGGTATCAGCTTTCTCTATGTAGCGGAGTATATAAATATATATTATATATATAGTGAGCAGGTGGGCAATTTAATTTCTCATTTCAGTGTAATTTAATATAAACATTCATTATAGATTCTAGATACTAGATACTAGATACTAGATACTAGATACTAGATACTAGATACTAGATTCTAGATACTAGATACTAGATACTAGCTACTAGATACTAGATACTAGATACTATAAGATACTAGGTACTAGATACTATATACTAGATATTAGATACTAGATACTAGATACTAGATACTAGATACTAGATACTAGATACTAGATACTAGATATTAGATACTAGATACTAGATACTAGATACTAGATACTAGATACTATAAGATACTAGGTACTAGATACTAGATACTAGATATTAGATACTAAATACTAGATACAAGATACTAGATACTAGATACTAGATACAAGATACTAGATACTAGATACTAGATACGAGATAATAGATACTAGATACTAGATACTAGGTTCCAGATACTAAAAGATACATATGCACTAGATACTAAGTATACCAACGATTTTGTAATTTTGCACATTCATTATTTCAACAACCTTAAAAAGAACATCTTTATGAGTGTTAAAAAAAAATTATTAAGTCCTCCCAGCATTATCCCTCACTTAGCACCTGCATGAGAATAAAAAAATGTTGGTTTGTATTGACAACGTAAACTACCTTGATCTCTATAGGTTTGCCCTGGCTGTAATCTGCAAAGTCGTCTTTGCAGTTTCATTCTTTATATCCTGGGTAAAACTGTCGGCTCAGTCACATCCATCTTGATATAAAAAATCAGTTTTACACACAAAGAATGAAACTTCAGAGACGACTGTACGGAATTCACATCCTGTCTTTTTCCTTAAATTCATGATTCCCTGAGATTGTAAACCTATTTTAATAATACCCTGTGTATACAGTGTACAATGTACATTATACATTGTGTACATTAAAAAAAATTACACTTTTAGCAAAACTTCCTAAATTATTTGGGGGTGATAAAAGATAATTGTTTTGTCGGAGTACATAGTACATATAAATGATCTGCCTTTTGTACGTACAATATTCACTATAAGCTCTACAATATTCAGTAGCTGTACAATATTAAATAGCTGAACAATAATCACTAGCTGTATAATATTCACTAGCTGTACAATGTACACTAACTGTACCATGTACAGCTGTTCAAAGTACACTAGCTGTACAATGTACACTAGTATTGGGCATAGTGTAAGGTCCGTTTTGAGACATTTACAGATTTTTGACGTTAAAAGTGCTTCACAAAAAATTCAAGTTATTACTCACAATGCAAACTTGTATGCTTGAAAAGTTAAATTTTATGAGAAAAATTGTGTACATTTTTTTCTGAGCAATCATATTTATCAAAACGATTTTTTAAAACGGAAAACGAAAAAAAATGTATTAATCGATTAGAAAAATCGTTTTTAAAAATCGTTTTGGTTAATACATTTGGTCAGAGTAAAAACGTTGCATAAGCTAACATCAGTAACTTATCTAGCATTCAATTTTGAAGTAATATGTACAACCCAGATTCTTGTGGAACCTCTGGATGTTTAAAAACTTTAAATGCTTGAAAACGGACACCTTAAAGTTGCGGGTAGCTAGTGTAGTATAAGAAATAAACTCAAGTATTATATTACAGGATAAACAGACACTGCCATGTGCCACATAATATATCCGGGGACGGGGGGGGGGGTGAGGACCGGAGAAAGGTTATAGTATGGGGGACGATTGACCAAATTAATTGGGCTCAAAGTCAAGCAATAAAATAGAAAAGAAATAAAAAAAATAGTTTTTAATAATAATGTCAAGCATTAATAGCTGTTTATCCCCTAATCAAAAAAACTTAAGTCTTTAACTGTCTGGTTGATATCAAGTAAATATTGAAATTGATAATGTTGTCGTCTCTCTTTCGATCTTTTCTATAACAAAATGTATTTACAGATTTTTATTTGAGCTAGCTTGTTTCTTAAAATATGCCCTGCGCCTTTATTAAAACTTATTTACAGCTATATACTTTACAGTTTACTTTACCAAGGGTTCCCAAGACCAATTTTGCCCACAAAATATCCAGAGCATAGCAAGGGATTTTTTGTAGGCAAAATTGGTCGAGGGACCCCGTGGTAAAGTAAAATTTTAAATTTCCCGAAAAAGTATAATTCTAAACAATATTATCGTCTTTTAAGATGAAAATGCGCAAAAATTTTCACAAGCAAATTGCAGAGCGGGAGGTTATTTTACTTAATTGTTCCAAGGGACGTTAAGTAACTAAACGTTATTTCTCATACATAATTATAGACCATTTATTTTTCAAATAATAAGATTTGATCATTTTATAAGTTATTTATTGAAAGGTGTTCAAGATCCATTAACAATCCCTTTAAACTATCAACAACGCAGGCCATAAAGTAAAACTTTTGTTTGTGATATCGCTGAGTTTCAGCGATTAAACTAAATAGCCAATAAACACTTTTAAAAGAATGTTAACTACGAAAATTGTTATCCTTGAAATCAGAGATTAAAGACAAGTTTTACCCTAAGGTTGTAAAGATAAAATAATTAGCTAAAATTAAGTGTAAGGTGTCAATTTCAATCCAATAAATTTGGTTTTTGTATTTCGTTTTCTAAAGTTTCAGTTTATCTTTAAGATGATAAACTCTCTGTTAAATTCCGTAAACTCGGTCAACTGTTCACAAATTCAAACTATCCTACACATGAGAAAAGATTATTTTCTGACTCAAAAAATGTGAGGTAACATCCAGTGTTTTAAAACTTGTGAAACCGGTAACATTAAAATCTGCGAAAACCTAAAAATCAATATAGCCACCATCGATCTATATTTTGAATACTGAAGAGAATAATATAATATTTACCGGTGGGAAACCTTGCCACATCAAACAGATTTAAATCCAAATACAGAGATAGACAGATAGACAAATATGGGGGTTTTAAAGGTAATATTTTACTTATATTGCTGGCACGTGATTCTAGTATTTAGTATAAGCTGACTAGTAAATAAACCAATATATAAAGGTTTATTGACTAGATGATTGATGAGATAAAATCCATTGAAATACTGACAGCTCAACTAATATATTTATTCATCTTTATAATAAATATATATATATTTGTATATATCTATATAAAAAAAGCTCTTAGCTCAAATATATATATTTGTACGTATGCGTATGTATGGTCAAACGGCTGGACCAAATCAGCTGAAATATTTTGAGGAAACTTTTTTTCTAAAATTAATTTTTTTAATCGTTTTTTTATATTTGATTTTTTTAATTATTAATTATTAATATATTGCAGGGTTAGTCAATAAGCGTAGGTTTGAGCATGGGCCTAAGGTGCTGGCCTGATTTTACTAATCTCTCATTTAATGCAAATTTCTCTCGTTTACGAGCACTAACCGTACTAAAGTATTATGATTATTAACTTAGTCTGTGTGTTAATGATATTTTGTTTATAAAAGTGTTGGTTAAAAAAATAGGGTAAAGAGAAAACTGCATGAAAATTTCATGTTTAGTTTTATTTCTATTTGCATCTTTTTGTGATTTAAATATTTCTAGATGCAAAAATTTGCAGTTTTAAGATTTTGACATTATTGCATCCAAACAAATAGATAGAAAGAGAATGAAAATTCATAAAAAAAGAGAAAAATTATTTGTCATCCTTAATTCGTATATTTTTCGAACAAAACCTAGGAACTTTAATTTACTGGTTCAATGGAATAATACAAACGTTACAAAATTTCACAGAGGCACCCCTACCCATTTAAGGACAATGGAAAGACATTTCATAGACGGGACATTTCCTAGAAAGGAGATTTCATAGACAGGACATTTCACAGATGGACATTTCCTAGAGAGGACAATTCGTAAAGAGGACATTTCATTGACAGAGAATATTTTCATAAACAAGGTAAATTTTTCTTCCAAGTGTTCATATCTAATATAAATATGCAATACCCTGCTCTTTCTAGAATCTATCTGAATTTTATTTCACATAATATTCATATTTTTGCTTTAAACTGATTACATTTTATATTGTTGATTTCTTGTTATTCAAACTGATCATATTTTCTAAAATTGTGACACATTTTGTGTATATGAAATTACCTATCCATGGAAATTCTTCTCTGTCTATGAAATTGCCTGTCTATGAAAAATCTACTCTATCTATGAAATGTCCTGTCTATGGAAAGTCCTATCTTAGAAATGTCCTATCTATAAAATGTCTCACCTAAGAATTTCTTTTTATATAATGTCCTATCTATGAAATGTCCTGTCAATTAAATGTCCAGTCTATAAAATGTCCCATCTTTGAAATGTCCTATCTATGATTTTTTTATCTATGAATTATCCATCTATGAAATCTTCATCTATGAAATGTCCATCTATGAAATGTCCATCTATGAAATGTCTATCTATGAAATGTCCTGTCTATGAAATGTCCTGTCTGTGAAATTTCCTGTCTATGAAATGTCCTGTCTATGAAATATCCTGTCTATGAAATGTCCTGTCTATGACATGTCCTGTCTTTGAAATGTCCATCTATGAAATGTCCTATCTATGATTTTGTCATCTATGAAATGTCCATCTATTAAACGTCCTGTCTATGAAATGTCCTGTCTATGAAATGTCCATCTATGAAATGTCCATCTATGAAATGTCCTATCTATGATTTTGTTATCTATGAAACGTCCATCTATGAAATGTTCTGTCAACGAAATGGCCTGTCTATGAAATGTCCATCTATGAAATGTCCATCTATGAAATGTCCTATCTATGATTTTGTTATCTATGAAATTTCCATCTATTAAATGTCCTGTCTATGAAATGTTCTGTCTATGAAATGCCCATCTATGAAATGTCCATCTATGAAACGTCATTCTATGAAATAACCCAACACCTGAAAGGGTACTACGCCCTCCAAGACTCCCTTGACCCCCCCCCCCTTAATGCCCCCTGTGTGTATATTCTCTATAGTCAGCACTCCACGGATTAAGTAAAAGTTAGGATTAGGATAAACCCAACAAGGATTAGCATAATAATATTTCTTTTTTTCCTTTCTTAGATTATTACTTTGTTCTTTTTTCTAATTCTTTTCGAACTTAAGGACATTTTTTCTAAAGAAATCTTTTTGATTTCTTGTTACGTTATTATGAGCAAACGGTGTGTTCACACGAGGGGGGGAAGGCAAGCCTCCATCCGCAATTACTCACAAACATAGAGTTGCGGTAATGCGCTTACCCGCAGCGCTTCGTTGTCGCACCCCTATATCTTCCGGCAAAATGTCTTACGATTTTCTCTTAAAAACGCTTGTATATCTAATATATCTAATATTTTGCTTAATAAAATGTATTTCTTTACGCTATTCCGCCTAATTTTTTCCCATGTTTAATGTCAAATGAAGAACCGTCTGCAAAGCTTGTATGATCATATGGTAGGGCGGGATGCGTCGTTTGCATCTCCCTTCTATTCCATACTCCTTGGTCGAGCCCAGTTAATATTCTGACCAATTAGAGCCTGCTTCTCATCTTTCAACCAATAGCAGGCCAGCACTCAACATTTCTACCAATCAGAGCCCGGGCAGATGGGCGGAGCTTATACTTTGGAGTTTGTTAACAAAGATGGCCTTTAAATTAATTTAATGAATTGATAGCAAACTAATTTGCTATTTTTAATACAAATTAAAAAATGTTACTTAGAAGAATTAGAAGAGAGAGAAAGGGTGGGCGTGGGGTGGGGGTGGCTCAAGTTATGAGAGGGGTAGTGAGTAGTGGGGGTATCGCGCGGAGTATCATAGAGAGGAAGCTAAAGGGGGGGGGGCGGCGGGGGATATTAAGGAGAAGGATGAAAATACGAAATACAGCGCCCAGACGTGTAATAGCATTCAACAGGTGAACGAGGAATAACGTCGGATTATATTTACGCAAGTAGCATTAGTGAAACATATACAGGGTTAACCACAAAGCATGATATTGTATAGACGACTCTAACTCTTCAAATATTACGATCCCAAGGTTAAATTAAGTTTTATGCCTTGAAGGTGTTGTTTGAATGGATTATTATAATAATGTTGCGGGGAATCATTAATTATAAGGAAACAGGCAGTAAAAATTCCGTACAGTCGTCTCTGATAAGTATCATCCTTTGTGGGTAACTTTATAGATTTCGATTTAGTATGGTGTCTTCAGTTAAACACAATTCACTCTACATTTTATAAACAATAATAAAGTAAAATAAAAAAGTTATGGTTATTTATAACATCTTAAAGTTCTAAATATGAAAATATTTTTATTCAGTAGATAGATATATCATCTTGATACTTTTAATGTGAAATATCTGATTTCTTGAGTGTAAATCAAAATCTATTTATCTTGAACGCAAAATATCTCTTTTTATGTGCAAGTTAGACGTCCTGCCTTTGCCCCTAAAGCGTCCTTGAGTCTGAAACTGACCACACCCCTAATTATAGATATTGAAGAGTCCTGTCTACGCCCCTGAAGCATCCTTGAGTCTGAAACTGACCACACCCCTAATTATAGATATTTAGGAGTCCTGTCTACGCCCCTGGAGCACCCTTGAATCTGAAACTGACCACACCTCTAATTATAAATATTTAGGAGTCCTGCCTACGCCCCTGGAGCACCCTTGAGTCTGAAACTGACCACACCTCTAATTATAAATATTTAGGAGTCCTGCTCTGAAACTGACCACACCTCTAATTATAAATATTTAGGAGTCCTGCCTACGCCCCTGGAGCACCCTTGAGTCTGAAACTGACCACACCCCTAATTATAGATATTTAGGAGTCCTGTCTACGCCCCTGGAGCACCCTTGACTCTGAAACTGACCACACCCCTAATTATAAATATTTAGGAGTCCTGCCTACGCCCCTGGAGCACCCTTGAGTCTGAAACCGACTATACCCCTAATTATAGATATTTAGGAGTCCTGCCTACGCCCCTGGAGCACCCTTGACTCTGAAACTGACTATACCCCTAATTTTAAATATTTAGGAGTCCTGCCTACGCCCCTAGAGCACCCTTGAGTCTGAAACTGACCACACCTCTAATTATAAATATTTAGGAGTCCTGCCTACGCCCCTGGAGCACCCTTGAATCTGAAACTGACCACACCTCTAATTATAAATATTTAGGAGTCCTGCCTACGCCCCTGGAGCACCCTAACCTCTGAAACTGACCACACCTCTAATTATAAATATTTGGGAGTCCTGCCTACGCCCCTAGAGCACCCTTGACTCTGAAACTGACTATACCCCTAATTATAAATATTTAGGAGTCCTGCCTACGCCCCTGGAGCACCCTTGACTCTGAAACTGACTACACCCCTAACAATCCTAGTCTTTTCTTTTCCGTAGACAATGATCAGGAGTTGGGTAAGTTGATTCAAGGAACTGAGTTTTTGCCACAAACTCAAATATTCTTATCCCTATATCTTGGCAACCCAATGTCGTAGACCTTAGATATTTCAAACTATTCCTTCTGTTAGATCAAATAATCTAAGTTTGGAATATCAAAGATTTACGACACTGGGTTCCAAAGATATAGGAATTATAAAATCAGAGTTTGTGGCAAAGACTCAATTTGATTTGTTATTCAAAACTTTAATATTGGTTGGTTTTCAGAAGTCAAATTGCTAGGTGATCAAAACTAATTTGGATTGAATTAAACAAGTTTAAAAAAGTTTTCTTGCTTACTAATTTGTCAAAAGTTTAGACGATTTAATTTAAACGATTAATTAATTAAGTTCATTGATTCATAGAGATGTTTATGTTCTAAATAAAATATCATTCTTCAAGTTAAATCGCTAACGATTAAAACTTTTTAAACTCTTTTATTTAACCATAGCAATTTCTTATGCACATTGGTAAATAAAAAATTAGGTATGATGAGGACGCAATAACTATAAGAAAAACCATCTAAAGGCTCTATAACCATATGTTACCTTCTTTTTAATTTTTCTTATTTATCCAGAATTTTAAATCAGATTCAGCTTTTTAAATCGAATTTTTAGTTCAAATATTTAGGTTTCCCTGCAATAGTTCCGATCGAGTCAGGGAAAGGCTTTGATGATGATTTTCTATTTGATTCTGATCCAACCCAACTACAGCAGCCAACACAAGGAAATCAATCGATAAATTCATCAAATAATTCACTTTAAAAAATAAATTTTCATTCTTTTTGAAAAATAATTGTGGGCTGGTTTTTTTGCTTGCTTACTTGCTTGATTGATAAATTGATTAGTGAGCCGTGTGCCAGATATTAGAGATTCTAAAGAACCTGTGTTTACTATAACACCTTTAGGTTGGTATTATAATTAAAATTTTAAAAGTATTATTTGACTGAAACATAATTTTACATTTCTTTTTTGTCCATCTTTAGTATTTTTTTCAATCCTTCTCAGCAGATAAAATTTTTGATTTACATATGAAAAATGTAAAAAAAAATTGATGAAAGTGTAATTTTTCAATTTCAGCTGATATTTTAAACGAGAGTCAAGTAGAGCCTGACTCCACTACCCTTGAGCCTGATTCATCCCTCCACGCCCATTTACGACACGCCTCCCTCCAAAACCACCTAGACTTTATCTCGGAGGGACAAGACGACGATTATGGTGTTATTGAATTAGGTAAAAGTTTTAGTATTTGAACTTTGCGTGACAGCAGATTACTGGGGCAGAAAGTTCGAAACCGTGATTAAGCCTAGATTTGACAACAAGTGTTTGGGCCAAAGCAAAAAAGTTATATTTTTTACCTTTATATATCTTTTCATTTAATTTGACTAGAAAAAACACATCCGCATACTTTTGCATAAAAGTGAAAGGATACATGTTATATCAGTAATGTTAACAATAGTCTAGTGGAAATGGATATTTTAAGTTTTGATGAATTTTGATTTATTTTCTAACATTTTTGTGATTTTTTATTACATGGGTCGTTTGAAATTTTGAAATTGTAATAATTTTGAAACATTTTGCAGATCTGAACAAATAAGACTTATTTAAAAATTTATGCAATTGGGTAACAAACCCAGAGATTTAGTTTCCAGAAAGGTAAAGTTGTAGGTTGTTTTTAACTTTAGTGCAAAAAACTTGACACTCATTGTAAGGTTTTAAACATAGGGATGGCTTGGAACTTTGTCCCTTTTCATTATTCCCTAACTTTTTGGGTTGAAAAATGGTTACAGACCCCAGGACGTCTGGTTGGAGATACCTAAATATATTTAATTGATTTATTTCTCTAGAAAACTGTTTACCTCCTCATCAATCTCCTTCCCATCTAGCAAACCAATCAGGAGATCTATCAATAGCTTCTTCACATCTAGGAGATCAATCAGGAGATCTATCAGTAGCTCCTGAACATCTAGGAGACCAAACAGGAGACCTATCAGCATCTACTCCATCAGAATTTTTTCCCGCATTTTCTTTTCATGATCTAAACCTTCAAGAAGAACCTGACTCTATGGCGTTCTATTCTCAAGACCATGGATATCAACATTTTCAAAGGTATCATTATCATAACTTTCATTATATCCTCTATTATGTTTTAAAATTTTTGGGGGAAATTAAAAACTTGAAAAACTTTTATTTAAGATTATTAAACTTTCAGAGAGAGAGACCCAAGTGGGCTAGAATCTAGTGAAGGTCTCCTGTCCTATAAACCTGGCGGATCCACTCCATCCAACCTTTGCTCCTTAGGAGCACACAATCCAGGTTTAGTGAATCCCTCCTCCTCCTTTTCTCCTCATCATATGATGAACTGGTCTGAGGAACCTGGTCCGCCACCTGGTAATATTGGTGGAATGTATTCATCTTACGGAGATCAGGGATTCTCTAGGACATTCCCTACTTCTCCATTCTCCAGAGGACCTGGATTCCAGGTAAAACATATAATTCATATAATTCTACCAAACAGAACTAGATAGAACAATGTGGAGTTAAAACTCTGCTATAGTCGTGCCATAACTGGGTGTTAACATCGAGTTTTGAACCAAGTTACAAACTGGGTTTTTAAAAAATCATGTTTAAGTCGAGTTTTGCCACCAGTTTTTCTTTGCTCAGTCGATCGGTGATTGTACTTTAAAAGGGGTTCAAAAGCCGGTGTTATCACTCAGTCATGGAGCATCTATTTAAGTTTAACTCCACTCTGAAACTCGACAAAAAACTCCACGTCTGGAGTAAAAATCCGCTTTAACTTGCGTCTCAGTTCGAAGAATTACAATTACAATTACAATATCTTGGGAATCCAGCTTTGCCTGAAAACTAAACCTTCTCTGTAAAACACATTGAACTATGAATTTGTAAACCAAGCAAATTAACATTCATGCATGTGAGTTGCCACAAAAAATGTAGGCTTGCTCGATTAAGCAATTTTGATGTTTATTGGAAATAAACAATCAAACAGACGGACAAGCAACTTATCTATATAGATGACACTTTACTGTATCTCAATGTTTGTCTTCTGTCTTCAATGCATATGCATAACGAATTCTAATGCATTCTAATGTTTATTTCAGGGATTTCCCAGCATGTCCGTTAACATCTCAATGAATGGTGTTGGTTGTGACATCACACAACCTGAACCGTGGCAGTACGATTACATGCACTCACAGGTGACGTACAGTGTACAGTGTACAGTGTACAGTGTACAGTAAATCATAGTTTGTGTTATTTTCAACTGAATCTTTTTTTTAAATATCAAGAAGGAAAAATATGTAAATTTTGAATTAGCCTTTGACGAATTTTTATATTTAAGGAGGGGGAACCATTACCACGTAGTTTTGCTCTGTTTGATACACCAACCAGGTTCCGTAGAGTCTTCAAATCTCCATCACAGTTCTTTGAAGATGACAAACAGGTAATTATTGATTGATTGATTGGTGGATTGATTGATTGATTGATTGACTGGTCTACTGAATGACTGATTGACTTCTTGACTGATTGATTGGTTGACTGATTGATTAATTGACTGATTGACTGATTGACTGATTGACTGATTGACTGATTGACTGATTGACTGATTGACTGATTGACTGATTGACTGATTGACTGATTGACTGATTGATTAATTAACTGATTGACTGATTGACTGATCGACTGAATGACTGATTGACTTCTTGACTGATTGATTGGTTGACTGATTGACTGATTCATTTATTGATTGATTAATTGACTGATCGACTGATTCATTTATAGATTGATTGACTAATTGACACTTCAATATACTTAATATACTTATCTAAAAATATATATTACATATATGTGAGTTATGACCAAACTAAACATATGATTTTAAATGAAATGAGAGGTTTGGTTATTAATACTAATAATGGAAACTTTCTCTTCACATAATCTTCCCTTAGATTAATGTGGTGCACCGTCCTGATTTACTTTGTAAAGTCTGCATGTATAACTGTGCAAAAATGTGGTGCACTGTCCTGATTTACTTTGTAAAGTCTGCATGTATAACTGTGCAAAAATTTTGTCTAGTTGCCCAAAATCTTATCTTATTTTTTAATGAATTTTACGCAGTCTCTTATAAACAAAACTGTAGCTCACAAATATTGAAAAGTGATGAATAAATTTTTATTTTAGGAAAAACATAATTGAACGGTACAAGATTGAATCAGATTAAGACCCAGTAAATGGCTTCTTTAATTTCCTTTTTAATCAAACCTTTACAAATTGGAAAATTCAGATCTCCATCTTCATCCTTTATTCAAAACTTGAAGGACTATAGAGTGCACAAGTAGTTTTATGTGACTCTCCATTTATAGAGTTGTATGAGAAAGTAATCATTTTCAATTGAAAGTTGATCATTTTTTCTCTTTAAAGTGGCGTGCGCATTTCTGCTTCAGAAACAATATGGAGAAAATTGTCACTTCTTCCACATTATTAAACAGTTAAAGGTTTAAATGAAACCGTTGTACCCAATATGGAAGGGTCACTTGAAATTTAAACTATAATCCCTTTAAATAAAATGAATAAAGTAGTATGCAATTCATAATTCTAGAAATAGTAGAAATTTAATGGTTTCGACTTTTGAAGAAGTCTAAAATAAAATATATTTTTTAAAATATTCTCTCTTAAATATTTTTAAGAAGGCCAGTTAACGTAAATAATAGTAAAATTATGATTCTGTATCACTTTCCAGGTTCTTTGATAAAAATAAATATTCAGGGATTGACCCCGCTAATGGACGACGACCCCCACGGCTCTCATCCATCTTCCCCTGATTCATCTTCAGACGGAAAAAATGTGTGCAGAATCTGTGGAAAAGGGTAATTTACGATGTTTAAGTTTTTTTTTATGGAAACTTTTAGGTAATAAAAATATTATGAAATATTAACTTTATTCGAATGCATCGAAAAATAATCGACGACTTTAGGTTCTGAATAATTTGTTTGAAATTAAATTGATTTTTTTTGCAATACGAGTCGTATTTGCAACTTTCTTAATTTGTATGGACGCTACGTTCTTCAGTATGAGTCTTTGTTAACAATTTCCTAATTATAGACACAAGAAATGGAAGTATGATTAATAGTGAATAAAAGCGATCATTTTTCACCGGAAGCATATAACCCCTTTCATTTTTCGCGAACACTCCCTTTAAATAAAAATAAAATAAAAATTAACTGTTATTTTTAAGTTCTGCTTTTTTAAAAAGCTTGCTATATCTAGAAATAGCCTTCCCATCAAGAAAAGTAAACACATATTTCACATTTTTGCATTCTACACTTTTCCTTTTTACTTTACACTTTTATGACTACTACAATATTTAGCCGAGAAATTAAGAAAAAAAAACGATACAAAGAGTTTGAAATATAAGAAATTTTATTATTTAGATATGCTCGACCCTCGACCCTGAAAACACATTTACGAACACACAGTGGAGAACGTCCTTACAGGTTTATTGTTTATAAACTTCTGTTGCAACCCCCACCCCACGGAATCATAATTTTTGCTTTAAAAATTAACTGCTTCAATTCAAAAAGTAATAGAAAAAGTCCAAATTTTTAACATAAAAAAATTGTAAAATGGAAAAAAATGTTTAAGGAAATAAAGTCATGACTTTTAACCGGAAAAAAATCCTTGACAAAAAAGATTTTTAACATTGTGTCCTTTGATTTAATTTTTTTAATTCAAGGACTTTAATTAATTTCGGACTTTCTTTCCCAAACTTTAATAATTAGATTCGTTTGATCAAATACAAAAGTTACAATTTTACAGGTGACAATTGGTTTCAGACAAGGCCAAAAAATCAAAACAGAAAAGTACAAAAATAACAACTATATTTTTCGAAAAAAAAGAGATTTTTGACAACTTTATATAGATTTTTTAAAAAACTTTTTTATAAAATGTATTTAGATGTTTACAGTGTAACAAGTCCTTTAGTCAAGCAGCAAATCTTACAGCACATTGTAGAACTCATAGGTAAACTAAACTAAACTAAACTAAACTAAACTAAACTAAACTAAACTAAACTAAACTAAACTAAACTAAACTAAACAAAACTATACTAAACTATACTAAACTATACTAAACTAAACTAAACTAAACTAAACCAAACTAAACTATACTAAACTAAACTAAACTAAACTAAACTAAACTAAACTAAACTAAACTAAACTATACTAAACTAAACTAAACTAAACTAAACCAAACTAAACTATACTAAACTAAACTAAACTAAACTAAACTAAACTAAACTAAACTAAACTAAACTAAATTAAACTAAACTAAACTAAACTAAACTAAACTAAACTAAACTAAACTAAACTAAACTATTTAGTGGAGAGAAACCGTTTCACTGTAACATCTGCAACCGGAAGTTCTCCCAAAGCAGTAGTGTCACAACACACATGAGAACTCACAGTGGAGATAGACCTTACAGGTTTAAGATTTTATGCATCACAAATTCAGAGTGCTTTACGCCTTATTCTAAATGCATATTTTATAGCCGATAAGACAGTGGAATAATTAATCACAATAAAAACTTTTAAATAATAAAAATTATAGTTTGATGCTTCAAATTTTAAATTTGACAATGGGCCAGTTTTTTGCTCGTCTATTTATGGTTGGTTAAATTTCAGATTTGTAATTGATTGATTGATTAAACTTAAATTACATTAATCATATTTCAGGTGCAGAATGTGTAAGAAAGCTTTCTCGGACTCTTCAACCCTTACAAAACATCTGAGGTAGAATAAGTTTAGTTTTTTTCAATTTTTCACAAGATTATTGCTTTCTGACTACATGAACACACTACTTGTCTGCCTGTCTACCTGTCTACCTGTTTACCTGTATACCTGTCTACCTGTCTACATGTCTACATATTCTACCTGTTTATTTGTCTACCTGTTTACCTGTTTATCTGTCTACCTGTCTACCTGTCTACCTGTCTACTCGTAATACTTGGGTATTGTTTACAAGTTTTTTTGACAATTTTTTTTTCTTTATTTGAGTTTTTGTAACGCGAGATTTGAGTATTTGTTGTATCATTAGGGTAAAAGGAAAATAAAAACAAAAGAAAAGTTATATTATAAAATTTACGAACTGTTTTATGATATAAAACTCTATAAAAAAGGTAAGATTTATTCAATTGAGTTCCAAAGAAAGAAATCCAACTTTTGAGATGGAAATTGAAAAAAATGTTGGCAAATATTTATTCTCCCCCCCCACCCCTATTTTCGTTCATTGCGTCAATTTTGCTGCACAAATATGATTGGTGGCATATAATATAAAGGTATATATGTTTTTCTAAAAGTTTTCTGAAACTTTTTTGGCGGAAAAATCATAAATTCATTAAAAAAGACAATTTTCAAAATGATGAAACTCTAAACAAGACATGGTAAAAGAAAGTTCACTGAAATCAATTTTAAAAATCTAGTCTTTACGTCAAACAAAGTCTGTACTGATCTGAAAACTGTGCTAAATATCAAAAATAAAATCTTTGAAGAAATGCTTTCTGGTCAGAAATAATCATACATAATTGAACTCATCATGTGTTTCCTTTGTATATTGTATATATGGAACAGAAAAAATCAAAGACTGTTTATTTGTATTAAAGGGATTGTAGATGTAATTTCAAGTGATCCTCAATTCAATCACAGTGGGCTTCTCAGTGTCCTTTTATTAGCAAATTGAATAATTTTTATGATCTTGTTTTTGAAGAAACGATTGAGCTCTATTTGTAAGATAAAATGAGTCTTGTTAATTCAATTTTAACAATATTTGTCTCTATCATAAAACAGTTAGAATTTTTGTCAGAAAGTAATTAAACACCTAAAATGTTTGTTGAAAACCAAAACGCCCAAAAGCCCAAAGAAAAATGGCGAATCTTAAACACCAAAAAATACACACAAAATGTAATCTATACTAGTCAGTTATTAGTTTTTCAATTTGTAAATTTGTAGATTAATAGATTTTAAAATTGATTTGTATTTTTGTGCTCATTTCCTTGTTTTTTGTATTTCTAAAAACTGATGTAATTAGTTATTATAACTTGGATAGAAATAAATATAAATGTTTCATATAATCCAGTTTTGATGAGCTTTATATGCATCGACGACAACAAAATTGTGTAAAAAATATATTAAGATATCTATCTACATATTTGCCTTGTATGTTTTTTGTTCCACTGCGATCTTACCAGAGCTGGGAACTTTAGAATGGTGGATATCGGGATTAATGCTTGATCCACTCTTTAAATTAATCTGCAGATTAAATATTGCTTGTTGTCCTCATGAATTTAATCTCCAGATTAATTAACAGATCGGGATTAAGGATATCACATTCTAAAGTTTTCAGCTCTGGCTATATTTTTTGCATAAACGGCGTGCAGTATACATGTTGTACCGGCTGGGATCATGCACTTTTTAGAGTGGGGTGGTTTTGATGTTTGTTGGTATGTTTGTTTCTAATAAACGGCAAAACGTTAGAAGCCATCAGGCACACATGTTTTGTGGTATTAACTCATGCAGGGTTATTTATACCCGGTCAAGTTTGAAAATCTAAAAACTGGTAAACTTTAAAAACATGGCTTTAGATTTTAACCAAAAAATTAAGCAATTTTGGCTGCTAGGGAGAGATTGCTACTGAGCATATTTAAAATGGACTGTGAGCGTAATTTCAAGTGACCCTCCATGCAAAGATGACAATGCCCGATTTACAAAGGTACCCTTAGAATATTTGTCTGATCAAGTAAGATTTATATATCAATGTTTATAAATTTGAAAACTGATTAATGTTGAAGTCCCTGATCTGAATATGACGATATAAAATCTAGTTTGAACTGGATTCTTTTTTTCCAATGAACCCGGCATTAATACAGCTGAATATATGAAAAAAGAAGATCTGCCTGCCTATTGTATAAATAATGAATTCAGGCACATATCAAGTACAAAATATATAATTTTACACGCCATCATATCATGCTTTAATTTTTCCAAAATCAATTATGGGTGATGTTTAAGTTGTTTGTGCTTTCCAGACTTTAGCTGAGGGAGTGGAGGAAGGCCAACCACATCAATCTCTAGTCCGAACCACATTCTCATAATTTTCTCGTCCGAACCACCTCGAAATTCTCGTCCTTTCAATATTATTTTTTTAAGTGTCCGATCCTTGAAAATAAATACATTTTTTTAAAATATGGCGACGTTAGGGCATAAAACATGACTAGAATAAAGTTTTCCATGGATTTTGAGATGTTGGAATCTTCAAATCCACAAGAATGATGTCAAACATTATTTAGGTTAAAAATTGAATCTCTTCTGCCTCCAAAATGGATAACTTTCAAAAATAAAAATTTATACCAAAGAATTCGCGTGAACATGGTCTTTAATCTTTCCATTTCAACCCATAGAAAATAATCATTGATTTCTGATTTATTTACAAATAAGGTAGATTTGTTGTCCCCACTAAGAGATCACTACTGCCTGCCGCATGCTTAAAATCATAGAAAAAATAATGTTCAATTTATATTATTCAAACCATTTGCTACAATTAATTGGTCACAACCCTATGAATTCAAACAGTATTTAATCAAATAAAAATTGTAAGTCATATCTCTAACCCAAATTCAGATGGAATATTACAAAAAGTTGTTTACATCGAGTTTGAGAATGTTTTGCGGCATTTTCCGCGAAAGAAGGGGCTCTTTTCAGACGCTTTTTTGTAGAATATCGTTTATGGAGCATTTTCATTTTTACACAAATCTAAAATTTAATTGGGAAAATTTTATATTTCATCTATGCCCTAACGTCGCCATATTTTTAAAAAAATGTATTTATTTTCAAGGGTCGGACACTTAAAAAAAAATAATATTGAAAGGACGAGGATTTCGATGTGGTTCGGACGAGAAAATTATGAGAATGTGGTTCGGACTAGAGATTGATGTGGTTGGCCTTCCTCCCCTCGCTGAAGTTACTGAATCTTGAAAAATAAAATTGGAAAAATTAATTTAAGATAAGAATTCGGTGCTAAAAGTGTGAAAACATTGCAGATTAAAAATAAGAAATCCGCGAATTGCTCCAAGAAAATCCTTCAGTTTCGGAATCATGACTTCTAAATTTACGTTTGGCCTCCTCTTCATTTTGCTAATTCTAGCCAAGACCCAGGTAGATCTAATTTTTAACCAACCATAATTAAAGCCGGAAGCATATGAGGTATTATTTAATTTTATCCCTTGATTAAACTTGAAACGCTCTGCTGTTCCATGGATTATTGGATATCATAACTTGAGTAAAATAGCCGTCTTTCTAATTCACAGTTGTATAAGTCTCAATGTACCTTTTTCTAGCAGAACTGTATACGCCAGAACTGTGTACTGTATACGCCAAGGTTCTATAATATATTATGTACAGCCTACAGGTGGATGTGTTTACCAAGGTTCTATATAATATATTTTGTACATGTGGATATGTATACACCAAGGTGTTTTGAAATATATTAGTACAGGGGGATGTGTATACACCAAGGTGTTATGAAATATATTATGTACATGGGGATGTGTATAAACCGAGGTGTAATGAAATATATTATGTACAGGCGGATGTTTGTCCTCATCCTAGATTTATCCGAGAGCATTTATGTACTGGCTGCAGTACAACAGAAGAGGCATTGGCATTCAGTGGGTAAGATCTGTAAAGAGAGTTGGGGTTTATCATTTATGGGACTAACCAGAAAATTCAAAAGGATCGAATTATTTTCAAAATTCTTCTAGTTTTGCGGCTTTAAAGCATGGAAAAGTTTCATTTTCATGACAGAAACAAATCTTAAGGAATAATAGTTGCCTTAAACATTCTTTAAAAAGTAAATATTTGCAAAGGAATTGAGTCTTTGCTACTATCTAAAATTTTCTAATCTTTATATCTTTTCAACCTGATATTTAAACCTTTGATATTTCGAACTTATATTATTTGATGTAACAGAATTCATAGTTTTAAATATCTAAGGTCTGCAACATTGGGTTCCAAAGATAAAGGGATTACAAAATCTGAGTTTGTGACACAGACTCAATTTCATATCAAAATGAATTTAGTTCGTTTTTTCTCATCATAAGAACCTTTTACAACTTTGTTCATGTTTTTTTTCTTGTGGTTTTTTTATTACGACTAAAAGGTAAATCTTCATGATCAATACCAACATTTGCGAAATATGATATGGAACACTATTTAGACTGTAGTATACTTTTATACTTTGTAATTCAGAGGCGCAACTAGGACTTTTTCTAGGGGGGGGGGCAATATTTTATTTTGTTAGGGTTGGGGGGGGG